GGATTTTGATGTCTGTGTCTTTGCCCAGGTTAGAAAAGATTTCCGCTATGATTTGCTCACATAACCCTTCCACTCCTATTTCTCTCTTCCACTTCTGGACCCCTATGATTCTCATGTTGTTCCTTTTTAATGAGTCACTGATTTCTCTAATTCTTAAATCTTGCTCTTGTGCCTTAATCTCCGTCTTTTTTTCTGCTTCATTATTCTCTATAAGGTTGTCCTCTATAACGCTGATTCTCTGTTCTGCTTCATCCATCCGTGCCACTGCTGCATCCATCCGTGATTGCAGCTCAGTTATAGCATTTTAAATTTCATTCTGGCTATTTTTTTACTTCTTTTATCCCTGCAGAAAGAGATTCTAATCTATTTTTGACTGAAGCTAGTATTCTTCTTATTGTGATTCTAAATTCTGGTTCAGATATCTTGCTTGTATCTGTGTTGGTTAAATCCCTGGCTGTCATTTCTTCGTGGTCTTTCTTTTGGGGTGAATTCCTTCGTTTTGTCATTTTGAAGGGAGAAAAGGAATTAATGAAGTCACAAAATTGAAATAAAAATATAAAATTACAAAAATGTTAAAATTAAAAATTAAACATACACAAGCAAATTGAATGGAATATGCTAGATCCTAGGTGTGTTTTGTTCTGGGTGTTGAAATTGGTTTGACAGAGAAAAAAATGGAAGGGGGAGAAAAAAAAGGAAATAATTTGAGAATTTGAAAACATGAATACACTGAAGTAGACTGAAATGAGATGGTGGGAGTAAAATATAGTTTGAAAAAATATAAAGAAAAGTAAGGAATATAATAGAAAAAAGAAAGAAAAATATTTTTAATAAAAATCAAAAATAAATGTGATTTTTTTTCTTTTTCTGTATTCTAGAAAAAAGAGAGGAAACGAAAAAGAGAAAAGAGATACAAAAAGGAAAAAAAGGAAATCATTTGAAAATTCAAAAAGTGAATACACCATAGTAGACTACAATACAATGATGGAAGTAAAATAGAATTTGAGAAAATTTACATAAAAGCAATCAATATAGTAAAAAAAATTAAAGGAAAATATTTTTAATAGAAATTGAAAGTAAAATCAAGTTTTTCTCATTTTGCATTCCAGAAAAACTACAGAAACGAAGAAGAGAAAAAAGAAAAAGAAAGAAAAAATAAAAAGGAAATTGTTTGGAAATTTAGAAAAGGGAACACACTGAGGTAGAGTAAAATAAAATGATGGAAGTAAAATGGAATTTGAAAAATAATACAGAAATGTAAAAAATATAGTATTAAAAATTAAGGAAAATATTTTTAATAATAATTGATAATAAAAATAATTTTTTCTGTTTCTACATTCAAGAAAAAGAAAAGTGTAAAAGAGGAAAAAAAAAAAAGAAAGAAAATTGACTAGATGAATCGGCTAACAGATTGAAGTAGGACTGAAATTACTTCCTTATCCCCTAGATGTCAGTCTATGTAGCTCTTTATAGTCCATAAAGTAAGTGGCAGTGAGACTTGTGTTCCTGAAGAGCCCTGTTGGCCCAGTTGGGTGGGGCTCAGTGCAATGGCTCTGCTGTCCACTAGATGGCAGTTTTAGGCTCCTGGGGTGGATTGTTGCGGTGCTTGTAGTTGCGAATGCACATGCACGGGAGAGGTGAAAATGGCGCCACCCAGGTACCCAGTCTGTTCTCCTGGATCAGCAATTGCGCACCCATCCTCTGTCTTCAGCCCTTGTCCACTCCCCGCTCCTTCCCTCTCCGTGACCAGGCCCCAGGCCGCACCTCTCTCCCAAGTTTTGTCACAGATGCGGCTGTTTTCCCCGGTCCCTCACGTCCAAAGGACCGCGTTTTTGACATGTTCTGCCCCTCTGTGGGAGGGTCTCACCAAGCAATGGCCGAATGAGCAATGGCTGAATATCGGCTGCACCTAGGAACACTTGCTGGATCCTGTTGTTGTCGGTGCCCCGAGACTGTGGCCAGGTGCCAGCCCGCCCCAGAAAAAGTTCGCGAGAGAGTGTAGCAGCAGCGTTTCATGGATTATGGAAAATCACAACACACGTCTGGCATCAGGCTTTACCCTAAACCACCTTGCTCCCCAAGGTCCCCTCTCCACACCACATACTTGTTGAATTCTGTGGTTCAGGTTGTGCAGATTGTTGTGTTAATCCTCAATCAGTTTTCTAGGTGTGTAGGATGGTTTAGTGTTGGTCTGGCTGTATTTCATGGATGTGAGACACACAAAAATCTTCCATGTTGTTCCGCCATCTTGTCTCCTCCCCCATTGACTGCCTGTTTTTCATTTGAACATTTGAGGATATCATGCCACTCCCTTCTTTCCTGCAGGTTTCTGTGGACACTGCTGCCATAATCTGTTATCTTCCCGTATTCGTTAGCAAACTCTTTTGTCTTCATGTTTATAGGTTTTTGTAATCTGTGTATTTTGTGAGTTTTACTATGTTATGTCTCAGAGTCAGCCTCCTTTTTTTAAAATATTTTAATGGGAGTTCTCTGTGACTCATAGATGCGGACGTCTGTTTCCTTCACCATTTAGTGGAAATTTTCCACTCTAATGCACTCAGACAAAACTTCTCCCCTTTTTCTCCCTCTCTTCTTCTTCTGGGACAACTTTGAAAAGAATTTTATTACACTTTATGGAGTTGCTGATTCCCTAAGTATATGTATGTGATGCAATGTTTTAACTTTCCTTTTCTTTCCTGCTTCATTTCTCACAAAATTTTATCTTCCATGTCACTCATTCATCTGCTTCTTTCTGCCTTGAGTTCATTATATCCAATCAGGTTCACATCTCGGTTACAGCATTTTAAAAATTTCAGCTTGACTGGGTTTTAGGTCTTTTCCATCTGTAGTCAGGGTATTTTCATGTCTTCTAGGCTTTCTCAAGCATAGCTAGTATCCATATGATAGTTTTTAAAAGTTCAGTTTCCTTATGATAGGTATTAAATTCTGCTTGAGGCTTATTATTTATATGTGTTTTCATTATATCCCTGGCAATGTCATTTATGGTTTTTTCTTTTGCAATGAATTCCTCCATCACTCTGTATGTCCATGTCTCCTCTTTCTTAAGTGTTTTAGGAAAATCCTGTTATGTTTTCTGCTTCTAGAGTAGTGTCTTTTTTGAGAAATGTTTACATACTGTTGACAACCTGACATTCTGGAAGCATTTCTTGCATGTGCTGTGTGCACTGTGCTGTCATGTATTGGCTGCTCTGTCCCCCAGGTCATTCCTCTGCAGAGTTCTCCTTGCCTCCAGGGGAGAGTTTTTCAACTTTGTCCATAGTGTTGTGAGTTTTAACTAGGTGAGTTTGGTCTCCTTATTAAAAGAGGCTACTTCCTATTTCCCCTAGAGGTGAAGCTATGCCTCACTATATGGTCAGTAGACTTGGTGCCTGTGAGGGTATATGGTGGTCTTTGGATTGAGGGGTGCAATGGTGATCTGGGTTCTAGGCACTCTTTCCCTAGTAAGGAAGCACCTGAGGAAGGAAAGGTGGGTATAGCTTGGTGTCAGTGGCTCAGTATCTACTGGGGGGTGTTACTGAATTCTGTCCATGATAATTGGTGGGAGGAAATATTGGCATCAACTCCTTCTCTAGTCCCTGCAGTTGGAGTTTCCAGCCACCCCTGTTCAGGAAGCCCCCACAAAAAGAGAATAATCTGTACTCATGGGTCCCAGGCTTCCTTCAGAACCCGGCCTTCACCCTGCCTTTGTCCAATCCATTTTCACACCTGGCAGCTCAGGTCTCTTATGTTTTATCTCAGGAGCTCTAGCTGGGTGTGAGTACACCAAATTTTATGAACTCAATGCGACAGGGACCCCACTGATCCTCTGGGACAGTGTCTTGCTGTGACAGGGTTGGAGCTGGTTATCCCAGAAGGGCAGTTGCATGAACACTAGGAGCTTGGAGTTCATGGTGAGGAAGAACAAGAAGGGAGCGTTCAGTTAGCTTTTCTCAGCAGAGGCTCCTATGCTAATGACCAGGGCAGTGCAATGGTGCCTGTCAGCTCTCCTGCCCCATGAGAGGCAATGCCCTGTCTCCCAAATGCACTCCAAGAAGGTAACTGTCTCATCCGATATGACCCAGGGGATCCTCACACCGCAGCAGTCCTTATGGGCCTCAGGGCTCCTTCTCCACAAGAGCACTGCTATGTCCACCAGGGTCCTCACCAGTGATGGCATGGACTTCTAAGTCTTCAGTTTTTGAACTCAACATTTACAGCAGGTTGACTTGTCATGATTACCTTTATGTGTCATCTTGACTGCGTCATGGGTGTCCAGATTCACGACTGTTTCTGTGTATGTCTGTGATGAGTTTCCAGAAGAGATTGGCATTTCCATCCATGGTTTCTTTCTTCCTGGGCATCACCCATTCCATCATAGTTCTGAGTAGAATCCGATGCAGAGGGAGGAAATATTCCCTCATTTTTACTTCCCATGTGCTTGTTTGAACTGGAACATTGGTCTCCTCCTGCCCTTGTTCTTTGAGTTACATCATAGGCTCTGCAGGTTCTGAGACTAGACACTAGTTCAGAATCAGGCGAGAATTATACCACTGGTTTTCCTGGCTCCCCAACTTGTGACAGTAGATCATGGGACTTCTTAACATATTTTGTCATGGAAACCAATGTGCTTTGGGTTCTGTTGCTCGAGGGAATCCTGACTAATACATGGAGATGATTTATCTCTTGTTTAGAGGAATTGAATAAAGCTGTAGCTCATTTAAAGTCCTGAGTAGCAAGTGCCAGGAGGGAAGTGTCACGTTGTTTGATTGGGACAAGGGCTGGGTGAAGATAATGAGGAGCTGTGGGAGCTTGTGGTCCTGACTACACAGGGAATGCATCTGGGACTCATGTAAGTGTTCAGCTATTGTGACTCAGGAAATCTGTAATTCACTCATGTTGAGGGACAGGAGTAAGCAATGCAAACAACTGTGTCTTTGTGCATGTTAGGGTAGTTTTCCTATGACAACACAGTTGTTAATTCAGAGAGTTAATAGATAAACTCAGAATCCTGTGACCAGAGAGGCTCCCTGGAGAAACTGCTGTGTGGACAGGAAGCCCCGGACCCTGAGAGAAAACCTGCCTGTAACCTCCATCTTCACCTGCTCCTGGCAACACAAAGGAGAATTGTGCATAGTGTTCGCCCCCTGGTGGTGCTGATCCCCTCCTGCAGGGAGGTTTGTGTCTGGGCTCCCAGCGAGGTCCCCTCACCCTGTCTCTTGCACAGTAATATGTGGCCTTGTCCTTGGCCCACAGGTTGTTCATCTGCAGATACAGCGTGTTCTTGGGGTTATCTCTGGAGATGGGGAATTGGCCCTTAATGGAGTCTGCATATCTTGTGCTACTTCCATCATCATACATATATGCGAGCCAGTGCAGCCCCTTTTTTGGAGCCTGGCGAACCCAGCTCATTGCATATCTACTGAAGGTGAATCCAGACGCTACACAGGTGAGTCTCAGGGACTCCCCAGGCTGCACCAGGTCTTCTCCAGACTCCACCAGCTGTACTTCACACTGGACACCTGCAGACACAAGACATCTTGATCAGGAAACTGTCACACATCTATTGGTCTCACTCATATCCACTCACATACGCGGCGTCTCTCGTTCACCATGAATTACCTTTTAAAATATTAACCAGAGGGGCGCCTGGGTGGCGCAGTCGGTTAAGCATCCGACTTCAGCCAGGTCACGATCTCGCGGTCCGTGAGTTCGAGCCCCGCGTCAGGCTCTGGGCTGATGGCTCGGAGCCGGGAGCCTGTTTCCGATTCTGTGTCTCCCTCTCTCTCTGTCCCAAAAATCAATAAAAAACGTTGAAAAAAAATTTTAAATATTAACCAGAAACACCCAGACAAACACAAACTCCATGGTGAGGTGTCTGTTCTGTCCTGATCTAGAATGGGAACACCTGGGACTCCCGGGACTGGGGCTGCTCTCCCAGCTGCAGAGTCTGGGATGGGCTGGTTTTATCAGAAAGAGAGGACCCCATTTGCATGTTCTCTGACATATATATGAAGCTCCAGTGTTAGCTTTGATTCTTTAAAAATGAACGACAGGGTTAGGGTGTGTTAGGTGCTGTGACAATATGAATAATTGTATTCAGTGAGTACAGGTATATTTTCAGTCCTGTGTGCATTTTTACAGTTCTTTCATCAACTTAGATCATTTTCACTCTACAAGTATTTTACATTCTTTTTGAAGTGTAACCCAAAATACTTTATTCTGTGCCATTTTCACTTGTATAATTTTGTTATTTATTTTGCATGCATTTTCATGATGGTGTGTAGAATCACAGGTGGTTTATTTTTATTTATTTTCTTTGTTCATTTGCGTCCTGTTCTTTTCCTCCTTTCAAAAAACTGGTTCTAATATTTTTTGTGGGATCTCTAGGGTTTTCTTATGTTTAAGATCAATGTCACCTGCAAACAAGTAATTTTCCTTCCTCCTTATTGATTTAAATGTCTTTTGTTTTTTTTATTCCCTATTTTTTCTGGTTACGTCTTCCAGTTGTAGGAGAAGAAAGCTTTTCTCTTCTTTTCTTCTGGGATTTAGCCAGTGTAAGGATTCAATTGACATGAGACATATCTATAGGAGAGAATAAATTTCATTTTATAAGTGCATGGCCTTCCAAATGATATGACACCCAGAGAAAGGACAAAGCAGGTGGCACTTGTGATTGTCAGACAACAAAACATTGGATTTGGCAAGAGTTAAGTTTGGGGTATTATGTTAGTCACCAAGTAAGTAGGTTTGTTTGCATACCCTTCTTGTGCCTGTGTCCTTATTCTGGTGCTAACGATGGTTCTTCATCTTGGTACACGGGAGGGAGATTTATATCCTTTTGTCAAGGGACGATGGAGAGTCTGAGTGTACTTGGACTATTTCTCAAGTGACTTTCACCCAAATAAGCAGTGTGACAAGATGACATAGTTTGAGGTGGCATATGTATTCTTCACATTACCATGGGGAATGCTTATGTTAGGGGTGACCATCATTGCCTCGCTCCTGATTTGACAGGAAAGCCTTCAGCATTTTACCGTTCAATATGCTGTCAGGTGTGGGCTTTTCATAGTGGCCATGATCATGTGGAGGTAATTTCCTTCAGTTCCCTTTTAATTGGGTTCTTTTTAAATGATGAACATGTGTTGAATTTTGCCTAATGTTTTTTTGAATCAATCAATGATGGCTTTGATTCAATCATTCCCTCTGGTAATGGAGGACATCACATTTATGCATCTGTGTATGTTGATGGATCCTTGCATCCCTGGGTGAATCACACTGCGTTATGTTGTATGATCCTCTCAATGTTCTGTTGAATTCAGTATGCTCAGATTTTGTGAAGGAATGTTGCATGTATGTTCATTTGAGATAGTGACCTGTAGTTTCCCTTCTTGTGGTGCCTTTTTTGGTTTTGGTGTGAAAATAATGCTGTCCTCACAAATTTTATTTGGGAGTGCTTTTTTTTTTTATCAGTGTTTTGTAATAGTTTGAGAAATAAAGGCATTAATTCCTCTTTAAATACTTAGTAGAAGTTTTAATAAAGCCATGGACTCCTATGCAGATTTTTTGGAGGGTGAGGTTTTAG